AAACACGGATGATGGCGTCACCACTTCACGGAGACGGGGGTCACGATACATAGAGTCAGGTATATCAGTACATTACGTGAGAACGGAACGGGAGGAAACCACTGTCATGAGTGATGCTAGAGTTGAGACTAGTCGAGTAACAAGCCGCCGCACAATCCATTCACGTGGCGCCGCACGTGACGTGGTTCAGAGGCACGCGTGCATTGTTCGTAGCCTCACCCGATAGTGTGATATTTCTTCGTAATGGACGAATACTGGAAGGCATGGAAGTCTCACAGCCTAACTGTTCCGGAAGCGTCAGTAGGGCTTATTTTCAGTCTGCTCAATGAGCAATGCTCAGCCTTGCCTCCCGCCACCGTATATGCGAAAATAAGCCTCACAATATCACGATCAAGTGAATCGAACCCTCGACCTGTAGGTTGTGGCTCGTGCGCTCTACCAGCTGAGCTAAACGTTTTAGAATTACGAGCCAAAGTGGTCTCCCTCAGAAAAGGAACGTGAGGGTCGATGAGTGATCCGTATAGATGACTCAAGTCTTCAAGTGCATCATCCTAATGATGTAAATTTAGTAGATCATTATCATTGTAATGAAGACGTCTGAATTATCGTAGGGGAGAATCTAGAACCGTTTATGTGTAGTCGTAAGTGCGAGCATTCCAAGGCAACGACAATTTACAAAGTGTCCTGGGCAACCGCGCGCGCCCTATAATTATCGGTCGTCTTGAGTAGGGCTTGAAGAGATCAATCCTCATTGCTGTAATCTACAATTAGCTCCCAAAGAGCCCAGTACCTACGACGGTCCCCTTCTGAGGATCAAGCTGCAGGCGTTATGCCCAGTAGTGGTTGGCTTATTAATACTAGGCCATAGCCGACATGATTATGTTTTCGACAGATGGGGAATATTCCATCGTGTGTGAGTTACTGGGAGCAGTGCGGACTCGCTCTAAGCTGGCAAGTCGACGGGTCGCTGTTTTTCTACCAGCTCTGGTATTAGAAGGAATTTATATGCTGAATGTGTTGGTGTGAAATTGAAATAGTTCGTGAGGGGAAGCTAACAAGAAGATGGAGGGTCCAGCTGGGAGCATTTCTAGTGGCGGGTAGCGGAAAAATATGCAAGGGTTGATGAAAAAAAGTAACTTTCCAATGGTCGCATGACAAATTCTGGTATTTTTGGTTTCCTACTATACAATACCAACAATAATGTTCACAACTTCAGTGTTGGAGTATATGTCTCTTCCCCTCAGCTGAGCTCAGGAGTTTTTTTCACTCATCATAGTAGAAGTGTACATACGATTCGTATGTACACTTCTACTATGATGGTGAGAATACGGATTCGTATGATACGAATCCGGGTAGAAGTGCACAGAAGCCAATGAGAATCCCTCTAAATTTTCTCAGATTCCCCACATTCTCACCACGACATGTTTTTCCACACTGTACAGCCGCTTACAAAGGTCATAGTCGTTGTTATCGACAGTGATCTCGGTGTTGTGTTCAGCAGTAGTGGGGTTTCGTACTGTAGTGTGCTTGAAGTGCTATAATGCCGCCCCGTAAGCCAGCATGGTTATCCGAAGAGGACTTACTAAAGGAACAGGCTGAGTTTATGAACGGGGACAGGCCTGCAGCTACTGTGGTGCGGGTGGGAGGCGAAAAGAAGGGAAAGTCTGATGTCGTTGGTACGTCAACAGAAGAAAGTAATCGCGGGTATGGTCTCGACATGCCCTGGCGACGTTGCCCATGCCATACGGACGTTGTCATTGGATGTCATCATTGCGATGATGGCGAAGTCTCAATGATCACACCATTGAGACGGCCAGCGGCACCGTTGGCAATTTCCATAACTTTTCGTCTAGTCCGCTAATTCAGTGGTGAAGTATAGTGTGAAAGGAGCCATTTCATAAAGTGATATTTTCGAGATGACTTTTAACATTCCAAAATGGGAATATCCACTATGGACCATCATCAATGAATTTACATTGTTGTAAAATGTTGGTTCTCGAATTCAATTGACGTTATTCACGAAAAAAGAACAATTATTCAACAATTTTGATGGAAAAAACATCAGTTGAAATCTACCACATCGTCCGAAATTTCATACCGTAATTTACATAACCGTTCGGTTGGTTAAACATTCCTTCTAC